CCAAGCATTTGTTGTACCAAGTGTTATACAACATAAATCAAGATTAGTCATTTAACAACCACCCACAGATCCCCTCTGCGTTTATCAAATTTTATTGATTACTTATTTTGTGGTTATTTTTATGGTTGGAATGTATTTTTAAAAAATATTTTTTTAATTTTTTTAGATTTTTTTGATATATTAAAAAAATATATAATATTAAAAAAAAATATATAATATTTTTATCCAAATATTATTATTATGATATCGATAAAAGAATTAAGGTAGATCATCATAGGACTTTAAATGAAATCAATTAAAAAAATAAATTTATCAATATCAATATTTTTTATTAGCCAGACAATGCCAACAAGAATATTACACATATACTCATTTAGAAATGACTATAATAAAATTGATTGGTTATCTGTTATGAAAATCATACCTAGAAATTGTTTCTAAGTTGTTTATAATAATAATGATGAAGTAATTGAGAAAGAAAATATATTTCAACTAGATGAGTTAATTGATCCATATCAACTTGTTTTATTTACTGAGTTGGAAGAATATTCAAATTTACATACTGCAGAGAATATTTATGTTCATATTAATATTAAGTATTAGTGGAAATATAGAAAATAATAAAAATGAAAAGATCAAACAATTTTAGGTTAATAAATAAGACGATGGATATAAAGGCAAAGATGATGAGGATATAAATTAAATAGTGGATTTGAAATGATTTTAAAAGTAAAACATTATTATAAAATTTATATATTTATTCTTGTTGTATAGTGTATTTTAACTTTGTACTTTTATCAACTTTTATTATTGTGATTGTGGTTTTAATATGTTCTGAATGTACCTGTTGTTGTTGTAGAATTATATTTGATAGGAATAGTATTTCATAAAAAAATAAATTATTATAAATTTACTTACATGACCACCAACAATATATAAAATCATCAGAGAACTACAACAAGTTTATGAAAGAATTTAAAAGTGTAAACCAACAAGTGGATTCTTTAATGAACTATTTTTTATTGGTGATATTAAAAATTGATACAATCACTGACAAACAACAATATCATGTTAGAATTACATAGAAGAATTAAGGAATTTTTATTCTTCAATGATTTTACCATTGAAATATAAAATCATCGAAGAAGTACAAAGAGTTTATTGAAAAACATACATGACTAATTTTATTGACGGATATAGCAATATATGAAAACTTGATAATGAATTCAGTAATTTTCATAAGGTTTCTAAACTTTTTAAATGATCGATGAACTCATTAATAGAATCATTGATAGTATTAAATTTTTTATTGGTAACTCTGTCAATAATGTGCTAACTTTGATTATTATCAATGAAAGAACCAACAATATTTTTACTTGTTGCCTATCATTTGGTCATAGATTGTTCTTCAATTACAATTGTTTTTTATCAGTTATTTGTGTTTGAAATTGAAGAATCATCAATTCAAAGGAAGTTAGGATTTATTTCATTTTTTGATTTTATATGAATTTTTAATCTTAATAGACTATAAAATGAGTTTCTTGATAATTTTATTTATTAATTTTTAGATAAGATTTTGATTTTTAAGTGACTTGCAAGCCACTAACATAAAAAGAAGAAGAAGTTGTTGGTATAAAAAAAGCACAAGATACATGGCTAATAAATTATCCAATTGATAATTGACAATTGAATTATTAACAGAAATGAACATGACATGGTCAAAATAAAGAAGCATGAATGACAAGGCTAATCATAGTGGCTCGATCATGACCACTATCAGTGAAGGCTCATGAACCTGGAAAGCTCTGTGGGTGGATGGTCTAGAAAAGCTCATGCAATGAAGTTTTTTCCTCTTTAGTTTTTGTAAATGAAGTTCTTTTCCTTTTGTTATTTCCTCTCTGTGGTTGGGTTTTTAGTCATTGTCTAAGATAATTTTTAATAAAAACTTCTTGTAAGTTGGTTATTTTTCTTATCTTGTAGTACAAGAATTAGATCTTTTTTAGCATTGTTTTGGTTTATTTTATTAAATCAAAAACAGTAATATCATGGTTTTTGTAGCTCATAACCTTTAAATCTTGTCCTAAAAAAGTATACATAGTAAATGTGTGTTTGGCTTGTGAGTGATGATTTGCTTGCAATGTTTTTGAGTTTTTTGTATTTTTTTTTCAATTTTAGATAGGGTTTTGTATAAAAAAGATACTGTCAAAAAAAAATTTAGATGAATAGATATAATAAAATAAAAAATCATAAACCATAGATTGATAATTTAATTGAATATTATTAATTATTTAATTATATTGTTTAGATATCAAGAAAAAATTTAAGATCACAATGAAGTAATTGTGAATCTTCAAGAATAGTGTTCATAAGCCTACAATAATTTTAGATGCTGATCATGAAAAAACATTTGATGCACATTTTAATATTCTAATGATAGAAGCTCATCAATAATGAGTCATAAATCTAGCATTCTGTTTACCATATACCTCATATTTTGGCAAGTTAATAGCATAATGAAAATTAAATTTGAGTATATAAAGATTTTTTTTAATTTAAACATATCATTAAATTAATGATTTTATATTTACATAGTCAACCATTTATTAATTGATTTTTATATTCATAAATATGAAATTACATGAACAATAACATTAATAATAAAATTATCAATGAAAGTTTTTTTATTTCACTAGAACTAACTTAAAAAGCATCATGAATGAATGCTTGTGATGGAGAAGTGATGGGGGTTAAGGTTAGTACATATATAATTAATACTTGTTTTAGTAATATATTTTTTTAAAATTTTAAAATCTAATTATTTTATAAAAATAATTATAAAAAAAAATTATAGTGCCATGAAGCAAATTTGAGGGTAACAAGGCAAATATGGAAAAATCAAAGTGCAACTAGACAAATCTTAACGTGTGAGTTTAAATTTTTTGTTGAAATATAATTTTTTTTTGTTATATATTTTTGTTTAATGAATTTATGAATGGAGTTGCGTGATTTTAACATATTTTTATTATATTAATTTTTTTTAAACGCGTGTGTAGAATGTTGATACATAATTTAAATATTTGTTATTAAAATTTGCTTTTAAGATCACGAAGAGTTCTTATTATAAAAAACAGTATATTTGATTAAAAGAATATTTTTATTGAAACAATAAATCAATGCCTTAATAAAGTAATGGAGTTTAAATTGGACAGATGTATTTTTTCTCATTTAAAATGATTGATAATTTTGAGAAACCTTTATTTTAGTTGCCACGTTATTTTTATTAAAAAAACATGTTGCTAATAAAATATTGTGTCATTGTTTTAAAGAATATCATGATTTTTTACTATTATGTTATCAATTTGGATAATTATAAATTTTAAAATAATATATCACCAACATTGAATAAAAATAAAATATATATTTTTTAATTTTTAATTTTAAAATTGTTCTATATTTTTCTCTAATTGATCATTCTCATATTTTTTTTCCATATAAGTTTGTAAAAATGATCGTTCATAATGTTTTTCAATTGAAGCTTTCTCTCACAATCATACTAAGTTTTTTTCCATTAAAAAAATATTGTAATTAAAATAATAAAGAAAATGCATGAATAAAAACACTAAATTTTTAGAAAATATGTGTGTTTTTCCCCTTCTTGATTCAAATTATATTTTAATATTTTTTTATTATCTTTTTTTTTATTTAAAGGACAATGATGCCAATAAAAATGCAGTATTGTAGTAAAAAAAAGAATCACAAGAATCAGAAAAGAAAATTATAAAAAAAATTTCTAAAAAACATTATTCTTCATCTCTCATGCAAATATTTATTTTTATAATTTTATAATTAAATAAAATAAATTAAAAAATCAAAGCTATTAAAGCCATCCACTATCGAAGTTTTTTGACAAGTAAATTTATGTCCATTAAAAATATTATCAATATTTTTTTATAAAAAAATAAATCAATGTTGATGAGGAATACTTTTTGAAAAAAGTCAACTAGGAGTCAGACTGGGATGCCCAAGTTTTTGATGTGCCAGTCAGCAATTGGTTCAAATTAGATTAACCTTATGCAGTTTCCATGGTGGAAAACCAGGCTTAATTCTCTTTATAGATATAATTATCTTTAAAAACTAAATATATATATATATATTATATTTTTTATATAAAAAATAGAAACAACACCTTAATCATGACGTAGTATTTAAAAATGAGAAAGCAATTATTTTTGGAAATATATTAAAATAATATTTTTTATTTTTAAAAATAATTTTTGATATTAATCTATTAAAATATTTTAAAAATATAAAAAATTAATTTAAAATAAAATAAATAATTTTAAAAAAAAATACAGGCGATTTCAGGAAAACAAATACAGCGTAAAAAAGCTCTCACGACAGGGCTGGGGCAACTAACCAGTGGATATCTCTAATCAATAATCAAATGACGAATCTTACTCTCATGCAAACAGTAAATATTCTCTCACTTTATCAAACTAATTTAAAGCCTCGATCTCACCAGTCCAATCAACTACATTTTCAAGCCATCGTTTTTGCTATTTCATTTCTATTTCTCATTAATTAGTTTTCTTTTTATATTAAACTTTTTAATCAATTTATACATTAATAATTAATCAAAACTAATTAATTACCCTGTGATTTTAATAACATACTCTACATCAACGTGATAAAATTTCTTTGATACTGGTCTGAAATTTAAACTAAAAAATTAATTAATGAACCTTTAACACTCTGAAATTTAAACTAAAAAATTAATTAATAAAACAACTTTCACTTGAACCTTTAACATTGTTTGGTAATTTGCACTGCAGTATAATTATATTTTTAAAAAATTTTATTTTCTTAAAAAAGTTTTGAATTAATATTGTTTTAATATTTTTTATTATTTTACTAGTGCTGCACTTTGGCCTGCTCAAATCCCTCCACACCACCCCCAACCACCACCACCACCAAATTCATCCATATATAGTTATAGTTCTGCTTTTAATTTCTTATAGGCAAAAGTTCCTCCATTTCCTCCTCTCTTTCGTAACAACCTATTAAAAAAGAGGTTTTCATGGCTTCACTGCTTTTGGCTTTCAACACCCAGAAAAGAACTCCACCACCTCTCTCTAAAGGTCTCTTGCCAAGATACAACCCCAGCAAACCTAAATCTCTGTCTCTTCTAAACAAACCCTTTTCACCAAATTCTAAAACTCTCAAGATCAAAGGCTCTTCTGTATCAAGTGCTTTAACTCCACAACTATACGAAACCCTAGTTAATCAAGAAGACGAGAGGCCTCTTAGCGAAATTTGGAAGGAAATTCAAGGCTGCAATGACTGGGAAGGACTCCTGGACCCAATGAATTCCCATCTCCGCAAAGAAATCATTCGTTATGGAGAATTTGCACAAGCATCCTACGATTCTTTCGATTTTGATCCTCACTCTAAGTATTGTGGCTCATGCAAATACCGAGGAGCTCAGTTCTTTGAAAAGTTGGATATGCAAGGCCATGTTAAGTACCAAATAAGCAGATATCTCTATGCAACTTCAAATATTAACCTGCCAAATTTCTTTCAAAAATCTAAGCTAAGCAGAGTTTGGAGCACACATGCGAACTGGATGGGGTACGTTGCTGTCACGACAAATGAAGAAGAGATCAAACGGCTAGGGAGGCGCGACATAGTCGTTGCATGGAGAGGTACAGTCACATATCTTGAATGGATTTATGATCTCAAAGATATCCTTTGCGTGGCCAATTTCACAAATGATCCATCCATCAAGATTGAGTTGGGTTTTTATGATTTGTATACCAAGAAAGAGAATTCTTGCAAGTACTGCACATTCTCAGCTCGCGAACAAGTTTTGGCCGAGATTAAGCGGCTTCTTGATTACTACAGAGGTGAAGAAATTAGTATTACCATCACGGGGCATAGCCTCGGGGCGGCTTTGGCTACTTTAAGTGCTTATGATATTGCAGAGATGAGACTTAATTACATGGATGATGGGGAGTATAGGACTAAAATCCCTATCACCGTCTACTCTTTCTCGGGTCCTCGTGTGGGAAATCTTAAATTCAAGGAACGGTGCGATGAGCTCGGGGTTAAGGTGCTGAGGGTGATCAATGTGCATGATATGGTACCAAACGTGCCAGGGATGATTGCTAATGAGAAATTACAGTTCCAAAGATACATAGAAGACAATATGTCATTTCCTTGGAGCTACGCGCATGTTGGGGTGGAACTTGCATTGGATCACACCCATAGCCCGTTTCTAAAGCCTACTAAAGATCTCGGTTGCGCACATAATCTTGAAGCTCATTTACACTTGGTGGATGGCTACCATGGCAAAGGCCAGCGATTTTGCTTGGCGACAAAAAGGGATATCGCCCTTGTTAACAAAAGTTGCGACTTCTTGAGGAGGGAGTATGGGGTGCCACCGTATTGGCGGCAAGATGAGAACAAAGGGATGGTGAGAAATGCTGACGGCCGGTGGATTTTGCCAGAGAGGCCCAGAGCAGACGCTCATCCAGCAGACACGGCACATCACGTTGAACAAGTGCTCAAGAATATCGCTGGTTCTTCTCAGATGGAGGCTCTATGAGTATTGATGCTAGTAGTGACTAAATTGAATGTGCTTGTTTGTCATCTTCATTTTAGTGTGCTATCATGAAGTACTGTCCTTGTCCTATAATATCCTATGAGGTCCATTAAGGGCCATGGTGTTTAATTTGCAGGGTTCAAGGTCAAAACCTGAGGATAAATTTTGCTGACTTTTCTGAGTCATGCGTGACAAATCACATCACCTTCAATCTTATTGTATTATATATATGGCCCGAAATAATCCCTACTCTAGGCGCTTTTAGTGAACATGTTATTAATTCATTTTCTTTGATTTTTGAGATATTAGTGAATGTAATCCTTATGTGTTAATATAAATCACCACATGAAGAAATTGAGAAAATATGGCCGTGGGTGATAAAAAAAAATAATCGAAAATGGTCGGAAATGATTATTATTATTATTATTATTATTTCTTTTTACAAAGATGAGGTATAAACTCTCTTTTTTTCCCGGATGAAAACATCATTATTAGTTAATTACAGGTTTATCAACAATTTATCTTACATGTTGAGTCCATATGAGCTGCTCCCTCCATCTCATATTTAAATCTACATTTAACTATACGAAAAAAATAATTTTTTTTCTCATTTTCAAATTAATTATTGGAGTGCAAATCTATTTCAAAATACATAGACTGGTACACATATTCCAAAATATGGGTATTTCTTAGAATATGCAAAATAGAGCAAAAAATAGATAAAGGGAGTAGTATTCATAACACGGTAGGTTTCGCAATTATTTTAGGATAAATAGTTGATTATATATTCTTAAATGCTCGGGTAGGTTTCTAATTTATTCTTATATTGCTAATTAATTGTGTCTATAGTATTTAATTTTTAAATATATTTCTCATTCAAATTTTTGCATCGATATTGACAAAATTGTATTTTTCATTTTAAAACTGATATTGAGTTATAAAAGGATGTAATAGAGAATTTCATCAAAACTGCTTTACATTTTTTAAGAAATAATTTTTTTCAAAATTAATCAATCATTAAAGGGTTTAAAAATAAATATTTTAATTTTCATAAAAAATTAAAATCACGCTCTTGTTAAACTCAAAGGCGTTTTCAAAATTAAAAAACATATATATATATATATATATTTTTTCATATTAATTTGGTTAAAATAAAATAAAAATTAAAATATTTCTAGACTTCACTATCAGAATAGTGCACCATTACTCCATCCATCATATTATGTGAATAATGTCATGTTATATGCTCAACAGTTATTAGTGACATGAATAATATTTGTAGTTTAGGTGCAATTGAAAAGTACATAAGTTTTCTATATGCCACAAAAGTTATTTCTCTATCATTATCAAGTTTATAAAGAATATGCCAACATATTATGTATTCAGTCAAATTTTGCATTTTCAAAGTAGAATAATACGCAGAAGTTTTAATATATGTCAATTTTCTGGTATTTTAGGATGAGAGGTTTCATTATAGATTTAGCAACATAAAAGTTCCCTTTCAATCTATTTCATTCAAGTAAAATCTTCTCTTTTATTTGATAATTTTCATCATAAATAGCCCCACTCAACCCATGATTTGACTTGATGGTAAATATATATGCAATGACCAATAATTTATAATGATTTGTGTAACCATCTTATAATGGTTCATCGAAGTCTTTCAAAAGATAAAAAAAAAAAAAAAACTTGATTGCATCTGCATTATGTTTTTTTTATCTATGATTGGATATTTATCGGTATAATCTTGATTCATTTATATTGTATTTATAATCATATTTCTATAAAGATTATAATTTTCATCTCCAACTCCATGCACGTCGCTAAAGTTAGAAGTTGACTCAACCATCGTCTCATAAGGAACATATAGTTATCCGTGTGCAAATAAATATTTGTATATTTTCATGAATCTTTTTTGTAAAATATGCATTGTTACAATATCTTAATCGAGAAACCTTTTATTTTTACATATTTTACATGAACATTTAATACCATCTTTATCAATATTTTTTGAATTAAATAGTACATAATTAATAAAACCTTAAAACTCATTACAATAATCTATCCTACGCAATTCTTCGGCTGAATCTCAATATATCTATGAATGATCATCTATTACTTAAATCAAGCCTATATAGAATATTGATGACAACATGTATTAATTAATTACATGAACTAAAAAAATTTGCAAATATTGGTTTGACTTAAACTTATTCAATTTATTTCAATAATACTCTTAATTCATTATCAATTATCTACATAAATTTAAATTTCTATACATTAATCGAAAATTTCAACTCAATAATAAAATTGACAAAATATAAAATGGACTCGTTAAATAAGTTATTATTTATTTCATCACAAAAAACCTAAGTTACAAATTCAAAATAAATTTCATCAATTTACAAATAAATATAATTTTATAAAATTTCAAACAAACCCTAACATGTACAGATAAAATTGGGAGGGTAGTTGCTATAGAGAAAAATAGAGGAAGAAGTAGAAATAAGAGAGGGAGAGAGAAAGATCACTTGTCGGGTCATAAATTAAATATTATAAATGGATTTACTAATAATTTTCACTGACAAGTTAATTCCGTTGGTAATTTTGTTTGTAAAAATGACACGCTATTGAATTTTTTATCTTTTTTAATTTCTTTTTTTCCACTGTAATTTTCTTTATATATACCGAGAGAATATTTACATCAGTATTTAACGAAAGATATAGCGAGGGAATATGATTTGTTGGTACAATCCATCGTAACCTACCGACAAAAAAATTTCTCCGATATTTTTATTTGTATTTGTCAATTTTCTGATAATAATTTAAAAAAAATTAAATATTGTACTAGGACATATAGACACAATTAGAAATATAATAACATATTAAAAACTTGATTAATTATATAAAGATAAACTAATTAATTTTATGAGTAGGCTCAAAATAAGTTGAAGTCATCTAAATATGTCCATCATTCACCGCTAAAAACCAAGAAAAATAGTGATGGAATTATTTTGTCGCATAACATATTTTTCTATGGAATTAATTTGCAACCAAAAAATCCATGACAAAAACCTTCATCGTTGGTTTGCAGAAAAATCATTTTATGAAAATAATACGTCACTAGTTTCTATTGAAAAAATTAATAAAAAATAATTTACTTTTTATTGTAATTCCATCACAAAATAATTGAAATAATAATTTATGCTTGACTCAGAAATAAATAAATAATAATTTATTTCAGAAGCGCATAAACAATGAATTAAATTAAACAATATATATATTCTTGATATTAATATAATTAATTAAATTGAAAAATCAATCATCTTCACTAGATATAATTCTACTACTATAATCATTAAAGACACCATCATTTTAAAAAAAAAAACACAATAAAAGGTAACAAAAGAATGAAGCTCATTAATATAATTAATTAAATTGAAAAATCAATCATCTTCACTAGATATAATTCTACTACTATAATCATTACCGTCACCATCATTTAAAAAAACAAAACCCACAGTAAAGGGTAACAAAAGAATGTAGCACTCCACCACCACCACCGTAACAAAAAGCAACAAAAAATATCAGCATTTTTGCACAAAATAGTAATAATGTAACCTGGTATTGTACAACCACTCAAATAATTTCATTAATTTACAATTTCATATATCATGAATATTTAATACAAAAAATAAAAATCTAATTAATAAAATTACTCATTATATATTAAAAAACCAAAAAAATTATTTACAAACAAAAAAATTGATTTTTATATTTGAAAGACCGGATTTTGACTGGTCAATTAATTTTATTTATGTTGGTCCAACTTCAAATCAAGTTTAAATTATATCCTAGATAATCAAATTTTAATAACTACAATTATAACCTCTACCGATTGGTCTAGCAAGTTATAGCTGCAATGGCATGATCTAATTTTGGATCATTTTATTTGTGTTGAATTCAAGGATTAATCTTTGTAACATAAAAATAATTAAATAGCTTTCTTATTAGTATTGATCATGCTTAATTTAATAGTACTTTAATCATTTAAAAAAATTCGTTTTTTATATCATCCACTCTTTTTTTCCTTTTCTATCTCTTATAAAAACAAAATACATTGAAAAAAAATATGAAAAAAAATTAAAATGGATTAAATTAAAACAAAGGGATTAAATATATAATTTTTAAAAATTACTTGGACTAATTAATTGGTTTTCGTAAGCTGGAAGTAGTAAGTTATAATTAACTTTAAAAAATAATAAATGTTTCACCACTAAATACATAGAGAAAGAGACCAGTTTGTCAAAAGAGAAATCATATGGCACCAGTTATGTGAACAAACATAAATCATTTCAATGGGCACAGTCCACCAAGAAAAAGTAGGGTTTGATATCAAACCAAAAGTTTAATCATTTTAGGTATTTGCATTCATATCTGATGGCATGTTTTATTTTTATTTGGATATTTTTTGTTTTTTCGGAACTAGAGGCAGGGCAATACTTCAATATTTTTGTGCAAACATTGAGCTTAAATTAAGTGTTGAGATACAAGTAACTTTAATCATCTTATTAAATTCTATATTAGATCTTGGGATTCTAATTAGTCAGATATTTTTTATATTTAATATATAAAGATATGTTTTAATGCTCTAAGAAAATGATAACTTTTTAGTCATAATCTTTACTAGAAGATAAGAATGATGGGTTATAAAAAGCTATTGAATCCTTAAAAAAAACAAAAAAAGGTTCTCATCCTCCATGAAGAACACCATATTTACTTTAAATTCTTTAAGAAAATATCAAGGTTTTTTTCTCTCAAATAGAATACACAAAACATAACTTATATAAGTTATGACTAAATCATCATAACTAATGTATAAATCAAATATTAAAAAAAAATCAACTAATTATTCAAAATATAAACTTAGCTCTTAGGCTATTTTAATTTTTCCAGCCTTTATCGATGTCTAAAAACCTTTCCTCCTTTTTTAAGCGCAATCATTGTTCCTGTGATGCCTTGGCTTTCTTCAAGAATTGTCATTTCTGCTTGGCAAATGCACAGCAGTAACTTAAATTATTTAGGAGCTATTTGGGGCTGTTGGTCAAACAGTGTTTTATTAAAATTGAATTTTTTTATATCATTTTATATGATAATATCCAAAATAATTTTTAAAAATAAAAAAAAATACTATTTTAATATATTTATAAATAAAAAATACTTTAAAAAATAATCACTATTACATTTTCAAATACTTTTTTTATTAAAAAGCCTACTATTAAAGGTGATTTTCTTGTGATTATAGCTCCCCGACTATAATGCCACATAAATGCAAAACAACCACAAACGT